AGTCTGTTATTTTGAAAACTAACAATAATTACAAATAAAAGATGAATACAGATGAACTGACCTATGAAAGGATTGTTGTCCATAAATTCGTAAAGCTTTTCTGAACCCACGCAAAATGAGCCAACAATTCGGCCCTGGTGCATCGTCTTCTGATTGTTTGTGATGCAACCCTTGTTTACAAGATCCACTACGCCATCGCTGAACATCTCGCTGTGAATACCCAAGTCTTTGTGATTACCCAACAAGGACAATATGGCGTCAGGTATACTGCCAATGCCCAACTGCAATGTGGCACCATTTACCACCAAATTCTCGGCGATATGTTTGCCGATCATCTGCTCAGCCTTGGAAGGCGCTTTCACCGCATGAATTGGCAGTGGTTTGTGATGTTCCACGGCAAAATCCAAATGACTTTCATGAATGAGAGCGTCGCCGAAGGTCCTAGGCATATATTTATTGACTAAACCTGCGAAAGATTTAAATTTCCTTTAAATTCTGTTACCAAAAGAGATAATTGCGAGAAAGTTCCAAGATTTACCTATGACACGTTTGGAATAACTCACAGCGGACCGAGCACAGTCTACACTGGTACCGAAGGAGCAGTAACCCTTTTCATCCGGTGGGGACACATGGATAAGAGAGATATCAGGCTTTACATAGCCCTCCTTAAAGAGACGCGGAATCTCGTGCAGAAAAATGGGAACACAGTCGGCGTTGCCTGCGTTCACCGCGGATCGCACATTGCCACCGATGAATAAGCTAATTGATCTAAAATGCTCTAAACATTTACAAACACATTACATTTATAAAAATAAGTTTATTATATAAAAGTTTTAATTTTAAAGTCTTTTAATTAATTTAGATTTTCTTCAGTATAAATCTAATTTCCTTTTCTAAATTTCTTGAAGTTGATTAAAAAAAAAATCTCATCTCTCTGGAAAATAAAGCATATTTGTAAATTTCAAATTTTCAAAAGAAATTAAAAGGAGGATGCTAAGTTAGGGCCGTTTTTTTACTAAAATAAAAAAAAGTTCCAAGATGTACATATTATCATCATATTAAATAGCTACTCATTGTGGAGTCGAATATATATATATATATATATATATATATATATATATATATATATATATATATATATATATTTAT